GCGACCGCCTGATCAGGCATAGGTGTCGAGACTCCTTTGAAGCTCTCAATTATCTTCTTAGCGCCGCCTTCGCTTTTCAGCAGGGCCGCGCTTGCGCTTGGCATCGCCCCCGTTCTTGTCCTCTCCGAAACCGGGGGATTCTCCCGGGTGCGCCAGTTGGTCTGGTCGCGGCTCAGTCTTAGGAGCAGCACTTTCCTATGCCTCCTGGGCGCGCCCCCCCGCCCATTATCCGGGTCGCTTTCGCCCCGGGCGCGCCCGCCCGGTAGCTCGGCGGGAGATGTCGGCGCAAGGGGCAGCTCGCCCTGCCACCTTCCCTCGTCCATCTTCTCGTCCGCCGCCCGGGTCTACGCTGGGGGGGGCGCAGGGGCCTCGGCCCTGGAAGTGCCGCGGTCCGACCAGTCGCGCTCGGCACGCGGCGGCGGGGAACACAGGGGGCGCCATCGTCACAATCGTCGCTGTCGTCGTTATCGTCGGCGGGGTAATCCTCCGGATGTCGGCGACGCCAGTCCGCGCTGTAAATTTTGAAGATGCGATTATCGCCCAGATCTTCCCATGTTCTGCCTTCTTGAGCTTCCGCGTCGGTCGATGGGATATAATCGTCTATGGGCATGCCTTCTGCGCGGTGCGCTGCTAAGCTGCGGCCGCCGAGATTGCTCCCTTCGTCGCCCTTGTAGGGGCCACCCGAGCCGATCGGGGTTTTCCAGACTTGACCCACAACATGTGTTGGCGCGGGTCTGCCCCCATCCCACTGCAGCCCGCTCCTCCTCCTCCGTGAGTCCGAGCACCGTCGGAGCTGGGAGCGGGCGGAGTCGTGTCTGCGCGTGTCCGAGCTGCTCCAGCATTTCAACGTCGGTGGCGGGCGTGATCTCCGCAGCGGACGCGCAACCGCCCTCGTCGTCGTCGTCGTCGGAGTCTTCTTGCGCGCGCCCGCGCCAACGCGTGCCGGCCTAGTCCTTGATGGGGGCGTCGTAGAGCTCCTCGATCTCGGCACAGCGCTCCACCGTCACGCCGGCGCTCGTTAAACGGGCCATCAAAAACCAGGCAGAACTGGTGCGAGAGTAAAGGGCGCGGTCGATTTCGGGGAAAACAACGTGCCCAAGTATATCCGATTCGGACTGCTCTGATCCAAGAAGTACGGATCCGCCCGATTTCCCACCTCCCTCGGAGCATTGTGCTTGGACATCTTTGTCGCTCCCGCAAACTTCGCATGTCGTCCTTCTTCCATCCTGGTCTACGCCCCTTGCCCATGCCTGTTGCATGCCTGCGACCTTTGCCTCTACCTACCTCCTAAGAGTAAGAAGCGTGTCTTTGCCGTGCAATGCGCGGGCGCGTCCATCGAGCCAGAAACGCGGGCATGCCTTTGCCGTGCACTGCGCGGGCACGCCCGCCCTTCGCCGCGACCCCTTCCTTCGCGGAAGCAGACGCGACGTGCAGCTCGCCTGCGCCTCCTAACTACTTGTTCCACGCGTCGCCTCCACCTTCTTTTGGCGCGATGGTCCTAGGAGCGCGTCTTGCGTAACTGCGTCATCGCCGGCTGGTAGGTCTGACCAGTCGAGGTCTGTGGCGCCCGTAAAAGAGACCGCGTCAGCATCCGCACCGAAACCAGATACGTCATCATCTTGTTGGCTGGGTGAGCCCCAAAGGGTAGTCGCGTCAGGTGGCGTGTAGCTGGCCGCTGACGGCGAGCCCGCGTTCGAGCCTGTCGTCTGTTCGTTGTCGTGGCTAGGGGCGTCGTGGACTCAGTGGGCTCTCCGTCGTTCCAGATGCTGTTCGGCATGGCTGCCGGTGCGCCGCTAATGTCGGCGCGGTAAATGCCAGCGCTGCGCCCGCTGAACATGCTCCCGCTGTTCCCTGGGAAACGCTCGGCCAAGTGTCCATGGCTGCGCATTCGCCCATGGAGTTGGTCGCATTGTTGTTGAATACGTGGCATGCGATGGCTCAGCGGTTACAGTCGGTGGGCTGCTCGGGAGGTATCAAGCCCAAGGCGCGACATGAGATCGCGGCAAGGATCTGGAAGTTGGTATATTGAAGCTTGTTGAGTCTGCATCCAGTCTGGCCATCTCGAATCGGGCCAATACTGAGTCGATGCGCTCGCCTCTGTCGGCTCTGAAGTCGATGAGAGCTGTCCCTGGGATGAGCTGTCGCTCTTCAAGGTTTTCAAATTTGGTGCTTAGTAGGTACATGATGTATGTGACTCCATCGGTGCGCCCCCCCTGCAGTGTGACACCATAAGTGATGATGGTGGACGGCACCGTCCTGGCTCGTGTCCTGGCCAATCCCCCCAAGCCGCGCTGCAAAGCAAATGCCTGTTGGGGCAGAGTCATATTCCCGCTTATTCCCGCTCGCGACGTTAAGCCATGCGTGTACTTCGCGAACAAAGTCGCGGAAGAGTGCGTTGCCTGCGGGGCCCCAGAGGGGACCCCGAGTGCGTGCTTCATCCATTCCTCTTCCTCGTACGTATGCCACAAAAAGGCCTGAGCACGCTCAGATACTTCCAAAGACCGCGACCTTAACATAGTGCATGGTCATGTTGTTGTAGCTGATGGTGATAGGTTGCGTGTCGTTGAAAATTGTCGCATCCGCAGGGTTGCGACTGGATGTCCGGTTTGACGTGGCCGTCACTTTGCCAATAGGTGTCGGTGCTTGGGTCGTTCGCGGCGTGTGGCCACGCGGACGGAAGTAGAGGTGTAGGGCTTGAAATTACCAGTTGGTCCGAAAGCATTGGGAGTGTAGTGGCTGAGATCCGGCGCAGTCGGGTACTCCACTGTGCCGGGGTAACTTCCTATGTACATAACACCTGATGTAAGAGCCAGCCGCGTGAAGATGTAGCCAGCTCCGCTACCAAGTGAAACTAAGGGTACAGGACTTGGCCATGAGGTAATGAGCTTTGAATCATACTCCTAGGATGAAGTCGGCGCCGTATCGATGAATCCCACAACTCATGCCTTGATGGCAAGCAAGACGAGAGGTAAGAGAGAGGCCATGGGATCGGGAGATTGATCATGGAAGGACGTGGCCTCTGTCCGTTGCTATGAACTGCAAATAAAGGTGCTTACACAGAGCAGTACACCTAACATATAGGACTGCGCGATTTTGAGCCAAGACAGCGTTGGATGTAGCTTTCGCTATACAGCCTCTCCTTAAAACTCGTTGAAAGTAATTTGACAAGACGGTGAAACTAGCGACGCTGCTGTGGACCAAGGGTGAGAAGCAAGTGCGAATACTCTTACTTCAAAGCCCTAACAAGGCCCGGGCCGCCCCAGAGACGGGCCAAAACGGTCCCACTCCAGATGGTCCAATATGTCCCTAAAACAGCACAAAACACACCACACACACAAGACGGCCCGCCAGCGCCCCAAGAGGACGCCAGAGAGGCCCCGAAGGCGTCCGGCAGGCAAAGGGGATTTCAAGACAACCGGGGAAGCCCCCAAGACGGCCCCAGAGCCCCCCAGAACAGGCCCCTCAGGGGCCCCCAAGAGGCCTACTTCTCTTCCTGGTCCTCCTGTCCTCCTCCTCCTCCTCCTCCTCCTCCTCATTATCCTGCCTCTCCTCCTCCTCTCTCTCTCTTTCTCTCTCTCTCTGTCTATCTTACTCCCCAAGGTGTTCCTTCAAGGCGTTCCACAGCGGCTGGGGGAACGCATTGGCTTGGCGTTGGCCTAACTGTTGGCCACACAGGCGCTTCAAAAAGGGCACAGGGCGGCGGTGATTCGCCGTAGGCGCCTTCGAGCCTCAGAGGGTGCGCTGGGCTAGAAGCCCAGGACCTCCCACGCCAAAACAATGTCCCCAAACCCCCCTCCCCCCCAGGGAGACACCCAGGAGACCCACCCACCCAGGGCAAACCGGCGGGATGGGCCGCGGGCCACAAGGCAGATTCCCTCCCCGTCCACATGCGCCCAGACCCAATCTACGAGAACGCCTAGGATGCCAAGGATCAATGGCGCCTCACTTCGCGCTCTCGCGCCGCCCCGTAGGGGAGAAGAGGCGGATGAGGAATCCGAGCCGAATCGCGAAGTGCGAAGCGCGAATTACTTCGACCCCTCGAGACTGCGTCCTTGCGGAACCTGGAGAGGACCCAGATCCACAGGACGCCCCGCCAGGATCTGCCCCCTCCCGCTACAGGTCCTCCTGTCGTGGCTTACCCCGCCCCGCCCTTGCGAGGACGCTGGGAGAGCGCGGGGGTGGTAGAGAGGAGGAGGAAGAGGAGGAGGAGGAGGAGGAGCAGAGCAGAGCAGCGCCGATGATCCGATGACGCACCACTGGAAAACATGGATGCACCCAGAGGCCCCAGTTCAGGAAGAAGGGCGGATCAGGCTCTCGAGACCTGCTTACGAAGCTCGAGATTATGGTTGGGCCCTGCGGGGAGGTACCTCTGGCAAAAACGACCCCCCCAAAAGATGAACGCCACTGGGGGCTCGCCTACGCACTCCACCGCCTCATGGGCCAGAGGCGAACGGCGAGAGGAGGCGGAAGAGACGGAGGAGGAGGAGGAGAAGGAGGAGGAGGATGAGGAGGAGCCAACGCCCACTCGACAAAGATGAGTTCGCCAAAGCCTAGCATGTCGAGACTACTGTAGGTCACAAAAGGGCACGCCTCAGAGGCTGGCGGTGACACCGATAAGACTTCTCGCGCAGAAGAGGCATCAGGGCTGATGCAAGCTTTCTCACTCTCGATCTCAGCATGCGGGGCGCCGATGCCAACACGGCCAAAGTCAAGTGGAAGAGCGCCGCTGTAGGCGAGACGAGGGCGAGGAGGACGAGGACGAGGACGAGGACGACGGCGGCGGCGATGGCGGTGGTGGCGACGGCGGCAGTGGCGGGGACGACGACGATGGACGGCCCCCAGACCTCTGGCCGGGTGCGCTCCGACCACACGGACCCTGCCGTGGCCGCGAGGGTGCCCCAAGAAGTCCCCCAGAAAAACAAAAACATACACGACGATGAGAGCGACGACGGCGGCGACGGCAGCGGCGACGACAGCGGCGGCGGCGACGAGGGGGGCGCCTGCTGGGAGGAGAGCTCTGGGTTGGCGGCCAGGCGGGCGGCCTCCGAGAGGGCAGCCATCAGCAGCTGCGTCACGAGCTGGAAGGCGCCCTCCTGGCAATGCGCCGTCGCCATCCAAGACCGGGGATCCTGGATCTGGGCCTTTCGTGATGGGCGGGGGGGCGACAGATGAGGGGGCAACGAAGGCTGCAGAAAAGGGGGCCCCAAAACAAGCCCTTCAGGGTCCAACAGGGGGCCTTTCGGGCCCGAGAAGTGCACCTGTCTCCCCCCCCCCCAATTATCGGCCCCCTATTTAGCGACGTCCAAAGGATCACGTCTTCAAGGTTTCTGGACGTCTTTTGGCACTCTTCGGGCCTCTGGAGGCTTCCTGGCGGGACGTCCCAAGACCTCAGCATGGCAGCTAATGCCTGAACCCCAATTCCACGCCTGCCCGCTCGAGGATGGTGCACTTCCAGCATGGCAGCTACTGCATGAACCCCCATTCCATGCGCACCCGCTCGATGATTGTGCACGTCCCGCGTGGCTGCTAACTCGTGAACACTTCATCCCACGCGCACCCGCCCGAAGATCGCGCACTTCCCGCACTCCCAGGCGCTGCCCCCAAGCGATCCAGAGCCTCCCTAATCACGACCCCTCGTTGAAAACGATGGACACGCGCACCGAGCTTCCAAGACGGCCCGTGCAGGCAAGCAAAGACACCCAAATGGCAAGGCGGCCGAAGATGGACTCAATGCCCATGGCGGCCCCGTATGCCTCCAAAAGGACCCAAAAAGGGTACAAGAGGACTTCATCTGGGGTGCGAAGATTCCAACATGAGTGATTTCCCGTAGGTGTTTGAATGATGTTCGTATTCGCGCCTTTTCGGGCTTCCGTCGGCTCAAGACGGCCCAAGAAGACTCCACGATGGCTAATGGGGCATCCAAGACAGCCCAAACACGGCTCAAGAGGGCGTCCCGTGGGACCCAAGAAGGCCTTAAAGGCCTTCGTATGCCCCTAAAAGGCGCTAAGACAGCCCCCTGGCACCAACCATACCGCTAAGAGGGCCCCAAGACGGCCCAAGAAAGCTCCAAGCCGGCAGGGCACCACCAAGACTGCCTACCAGGAGGCCAATACAGCCCCAAGGCAGCAGGCACGAGTTTGATCATCATCAGCATCATCATCATAAACATCATCCTCATCATCATCAGCATTATCAGCATCATCATCAGCATCGTCACACTCATCATCATCATCATCATCATCAGCATCGTCATCATCATCATCAACATCATCACCCTCACAATTAGAATCATCATACTCATCATATCGTCATCAGCATCAGCATCAGCATCAGCATCAGCATCATCCTCAACATCATCCTCAACAGATCATCATCATCAGCATCAGCATCATAATCATTAGCGGCGTCGTCGTCACCATCATCACGAACAGCACCATCAATCATCATCGGTATCATCATCGTCATCTTCATCATCCCGATCATGGGAATCATCATCCTCAACATCAACAACAACATCACCATCGTACACATAGCCGTCATCGCCAGCAACATCATCACTATTATCACACTCGTCATCAGTATCACCATCGTCATCGTCATCATAACCATCATCGGCATCATCAGAATCATCAGCAGCATCGCAATCACTATCATACCATTATCATCCTCAACATCATCATCAATATCCTCAGTACCACCATCAGCATCACCCTCATCATCATCCTCATCATCCTCCTCAGCATCATCAACGTCGTCACCATCAACACTGACATCACCATCCCAAATCCTCGTCCTCACCCTCTGCATCAAAACCATAATCGACGACATCGTCATCATCACCGTCGTTGTCGTTATTACCAGAAGCAGCACCACGAACAACATCATCATCTCCACCACCATCATAATTATCAGCATCGGCATCAGCATCATCATCGCCTTCTTCATCATCGGCATCGTCATCGCCATCTTCATCGCCATCGTCATCATCATCACCATCACCGTCACCACCATCCTCATCCTTATCATCATGATCACCATCATGATACTCGTCATCATCATCCGCATCATCATCAGCATCATCATAATCATCATTATCACCCGAATCATCAGAATCATCAGCAGCAGCAACAACCTCATCATCGTTATCATCATCATCATCGTCGTCGTCGTTCTCGTCATCGTCGTTGTCGTCATCGTCATCATCGGCATCATCCCCCATCATCCTCAAAAATATGTATCATCCTCATCACTGCTCTCCGAAGCCCGAAGAAACGAGGTGTCACATGTGACGGCCTTCCGTGCCCCCTCGAAAAGTCGCCATGCCGAATGCGGGACTTGCCGCAGGCAGCTGGATTTCTCCACTCGACCGAAATCCGCCGCCCCCTGTCGATTCATCGCAGGGGTGCCTGGCGTGCTAGACCCTCTCGGTTTGGGTTTTGGTTTTTTTGTCCACTCAAAAAAAACCCTGGGGCTCCAACGCGTCCCGCCGGCCACTCGCAAGGATTGCCCAGAAGTGTTTGCCGAGGGTTTTCCTGCCCTACATGGTTCCAATATGACCCAAGATGGCCTCCAAGATGCTTCCAAGACGGCCAAGATGGCTTCCAAGACGGCTAAAATGGCCCCAAGATGCCTCCAAGGCGGCCCAAAATGCACCGATGACGGCCTAAGATAACCTCAGGATGGCCCAAAACGGCCCAAGAGGCCTCCAAGAGGTCCTCCAGGAGGCCCCGAAGAGGCCAACATCATTGATTTGCCAACGAATATCGAAAGATTTTGACATTCACGAATTCTCGGCCCTCCGACGGCCCGAGAGTTCGAACGGGGCTGGGAGGCCCAACCAGCAGCTTCGCCTAAAGCGAAACCAATATCCAACTCTGCTGTACCGTAGTAACGATAGTCCCAGACGTAGGAGGTCGTCGCGGGAGCGACGGGCCATCTCAAGCGAAGATGTTTTCAGTCCCGATGGCAAGTAGTGCGCTTCGCTATGAAGCGCAGTCATATATTGGGGGCCGGCCGCTTGCGCCCAAGCGACCGCGGACAAACGCTCGCTGTCTCTCGCCCTTGCCCCAGCTCACTTTAGAGTCGGGGGGGGCGAAGCGTGACTTCGCCGCCACTATACAGTAAACAGCATATGTGCAAAAAAGCAAAAAGAGGCAGGTTCATAAGGAAGGTGAACCCACAAGCAATTGCACCTGCGCGCAAGTTGCCTTGCGATCAGACCGCTGTATAAACGAGTGCTACTCAGGCGGCCTCAACCGATGTTGTCTGGCCGGCCCGGTACGGAGCATGACGTTCCAAGTCATGATTGAAGGACTGCGTTCCTCCCATGACCTGTAGGAGCATATATTTATCAACGCTCTCTTTTGTGTGACCGTCCGCAGTCATGTCGCGAGTGTCACACCGCTGAATACGATGAGCGCTACCTCGCTCCATTATCTGTCGTATCCAACGGGTGCGTCCTAAAACTGTACACTCGGTCGTTTTCTTTTCTTTGTCCAATCTTTGCTTGACAAGGACTTGGCGACAGATTTGGCATCAATGGTCAAAGAAACCTTAATGCTTAGGCCACCCATCTCCAGTATGTCTTTCAACTGAGTGGGTGCCAGTGGTCCTGCGTGGAGTTCACGCCGAGTAACGATCGTGGGATAGCAGTCCTCCAAGTTATGGGCTGCTGCTAGTGCCGGTGATTCGCTTGGGCGGACTTGCAGGCGGTGAGACTTGCAGTTCGCACCGATCAGATGGGCGGCAACCGTACCAGTTGGCACGTTTCCACGTCGTAGCAGGTCTGCCCCGCGAATACCATAGCCTTTGTCTCTCGCCATCGTCTCCACTAAGACGTCGATAGCCGGAGTCACTGTGCAGGTCACATTCGCCCGTTGGAATCATCGATCGATGGGCGACCTTCTTAGGGCAGGCCTGTAACTTCCCGGTAATCGCGTTCAGTCGCCGCACCCGTATATTGGTCGGGTCTTGGACACGTTGCAGGAGACCACATATACCGTCAACCACACCGGTGTGATTAAAGCGTAAGCCAATGCACCTCTGAGGCTGACAAACATGTCAGCAACCATCTTTGATGCTTTGGCGTCTGCGTCTGCGCCTGTGCAGTCAGGATGTTGCATAGGCCGGAGCTGTTTGATGTGTTCATCTTGGCCCAATATAACATTACCGCCCCCATCCTTGGTGCATCTCACAGCACAATTGGTACGCGTGTGCTCGCTCAATTTACCCTTGCCAAACATGACCTCGACGCACTTGACTCCCTTGTCGACGGTGTCCTCGGTGTCCTCAGTGCCGGCCACATTGATATCATCAGCATGTTTGGCTGTGAGAAGGTTACTGCTTGGCTCGAACTCCTCGTCGTAGGACGTGGGCCTGACAGCAAAGCCTCTCGTGGTCTTTCTGAGCTTCAGTGAGAAGGCTATGGCTGCATCCTGGGCGCCGGTGCATGACTTGAAGCGCCGCAAGCAGTGCTTCGACTCATCGTGGCGCTCGAATCCTGGGATGGATCGAAGCACCGATGCTGATCCAGGTGGCGCGGTAAAGCACGCCGCGCGCTCCTTTTCACGGGTTGCCTCAGCAAGGTCCTGGGTGATTAATCCTCTCAGGAACGCCACGTTGATGTCAAGGGAAGCAATGATCCATATCTTCTTGCACGCTGCCGTACTTGCGAGCAATATCTGACTTGGCCGCCGTTCTGTTTCTAAGAATATGTCCACATCGAAAGCCTCGAGTTCCATGAAAACCCGAGGTACCAAGCGCAATGCGATGGCGCATTCCATCTCGTCCTTTCCGTTCTTTACGAGCTTCCACTTATATACGTACCTCGAAGTCATGATGATTGTCATGTTGGATATATATATATATGTATATATATATATCTTGAAACGCGCGGTGTGACAACATGTCTTGAGTTCAATACATGCGGCCTTTGATGCCTGAGTGTCGGTAGTCGTGAGGAGGTCGCCCTCCTTGACGACCGCAGCTCGTTTTGCGGCGGCGGCTACGTGCACTCGCATGGTGGTCACATGGCCGGAATCGAAAATCCTATGTTGCTGTTCGGATAGGACTACCACTGACATTTCTGCAGTAA